GCAAAACTCAAAAGAAAAAATGTCATTTTTTCCAATCCTGTATAATGAAAGACTACGACCACTTTCTTCCTATGCAGTTTTTTTGTTTTGTTTTGTTTTGTTTTGTTTTTTTTTTTTTTTTTCCAATGGTAATCTGCCTGTGAAGCCATCATTAGCTTGGCCATTCTACCACTAACATGGTTAGTATCAGGAGGGTAAGTGCAAGTATCCCCAGAAGGCAAGTGAGGAGGTGGAGACAGAGCAGTTGAAATTAAGTTCACAAAGGAAGCATGTGGCAGAGCAGGGATTTATGACTCCATGTCTCCAGACCAGTGTCTTAATCACAATATTAACATTTATTTATTTTTTAATTATGTCTCCATGCTAGAGCAAACTAAAAATCAGTTTTATTTGAATATATGCTTTTGATGTTCCGTTTCTGGGAAACATTAAGCCTTCCATCATTGTTGAAATACCAACGTGTAATACCAGGGCTGGCAGTGGTAGAAATGACAGTGCAGAATCTTTACCTACTCTTTACCTATTCAGAACCAAAATTATCAGTGTTGCTGACTGCCAGAGAAACAAGACCAATTGTTGTAGGCCTGGGAAAGTGAAGAAGGAAATCTTGTTGGAGGAACAGCCCCATGTGTTTAAGAAAAGGTTGCATGTGGTACTTAGGAACATGGTTTATTGAGTGATATTGGTGGTAGGGGGACAGTTGGACCAGATGATCTTGGAGGTCTTTTCCAACCTTTATGATTTTTATGATCTGTGATGATGAATGCTATCATCTTTACACCGAGTTCTTTCCATTTCCAGAAAAAATGTTTTACAATTTTGACATGATATAAAGAAATTTGAGTAAATAAGAGCCCAGGTACTTAAAAAATTACTTATCGCTTTGTCTTCTTCATTGTCTTCACAGGCTCCTTTCCCAGAGTAGTGGTCACAGCACTGAGCCTGCCAGAGTTCAAGGAGTGTTTGGACAATTCTTTCAGACACATTGTCTGATTTTTGGGTGGTCCTGTGTGAAGCCAGGAATTAGACTCAATGGTCCTTGTGGGTCCCTTCCAACTTGGGATATTTCATGATTTTATGATCTTCACAGCTTAAGCAATAAGGCTTTTTTGGTAGGTTTTCCTTACATAAATACTTATGCCTAGAGAAACAGATGTTATCAAGCAAAAAGGTTCTAATTTAGGCTCGGCAACACAGAGTCTTGTCAATGCTTACACTTGGGGGTCTCAACCTCAAGGGTATTTGTCCTAGCTTTTGCGTTCTCACTGAACTTCATGAAACTGCAGGTACTGCATTCTTCTTATCATACTTTCAAAACTATGAGGCTAAAGCAACAGCAAAGGCATCTTTGAGTGTCTTCTGATCATTTAAGTATGAATAACTTTTGAACACAGGATGTCCAGGTAACATTCCTAGCAAAACCCTTAATGGATTCACAAATTATGAATTAAATTTCAAATTCTTGCTCAGCATTAATAATGTTTTTGCAACTCAGTTGTAGAAACAACTATTGACCACTGTTTGAGCTCCACAGAAATCTCTGGTATCTTTTTACATAGTGTATAGTTTATTCAGAATAGCTGCAGCATCATTCTAGTGATCATTCTGACATCCCTACAAAAGCAAAGGCAAATTTCTGCTTCATGCATTTTAGTATATTTGGCTTCACCTTTTCTTGGAAGCTGGAAAGGGATAGTGCAGGAACAAGGACATAACTCTTATAGATCAACCTCAAAAACCTGCAAAACTGATCATTAAAATTCTGTGCTTAGCAGCATAAATTTATGCTTCATGACAAGGTCAGTAATTGGATGGATGCACTAATGGCTGAAGAAAAAGCTTCTGGCAGCACCACGAAACAGGTACTTTACAAAGTAATTTAATGACTTTTAGTGCTCATGGTATTATGCTTACAGTTTTATTTATGCTTTTATGTTACTTGTGTATAACAGAGGAGTATTTGTCCACAGCAATGTTTACTGTTGGTGATGCTTTAAAAAAAGTTCAGGGAATCTGTTCCAAACTGAAACCTTAGCCTACACTGATAAATGAAGCCAAGAGAAGAGTTAAAGCCACAGTCATCCTTTCTGCTCATCAGGCCATTATTGTACTCGACTCGTCATAAGAAATAAGCCACTACCTGACCCACCCCAAATTCCTTACCCACCCGTTATCAGAGATACTTTTTTCCAAGTCTTCGCTGTTCTACCACAGAAGGTAGGGAACAGATCTGATGGCAAGGATCCAATGATCTCCTTGTCCTGCTGACACCCTCCTTTTTCTTTGTCACACATGGACTGTATTTTAGCAGAAACATCATCCCTCACTGTTGCAGGATCAGTGGTATCACCATTGGGGAAAAAAATAATTGCTCAATTCTATTTATTTGATGCAACCAATTAGAATTACAGATGCATATCAGCACTTCAACATTCCCCTCAGTGATAATCTGCCTGCAGCTGGGACTCCTAAGTCTTTCTCCTGGTGCATTTAGAACATCTATCATCTTGCGTGGCTATGTGGATGTTTTTGCTAATGCCACTGCTCTGAGGGCCTCCAGAGAAAGAAAATGTAGCTCAAGAGTCAAGAAGCACATAAGTCACCCAAATACCTTGGGGTAACTAGAGGGGAAACAAACAGGTTACAACACAAAGTAATTGAAGTATGTAATTTTTCTATTTTAAGCTTTTCTTCCAGGCAACTTCTCACAAAATCTATCATTAGCTTTTCTGCATTTTCTGAAAATCCTTGTCCTGCAAGAAGAATGTGATATATCCACTATCCCCTAGCTCTCTGCAAACAACTGGTTTGAGTGGTTCTCAAGAGAAAGGCTGCTAGAGAACGTGAGGGCCACCCCATCAACAACAGCTTCACTTGGATTGCTGTGGCTGCAGGTTTGAGTAATTCCTGTTGACTACTCGTGAGAGGAACATTAACTAGTCTGTATAAATATTTAGCTACCAAAAGCCAAAATGCTGTGACTGGCCTCCTCCCTTGCCAAAAGCACTGCTGAGCATCAGCAGCCTAACTCCACAAGGAGGAATAAGGAGAGTTAAGCAGTACTTAGGTAAAAGCCTTTTCCTACAGTTGTGCAACATTTTCCATGGATTTAACTTTTCAGATGTTTTGTGCGCTACGAATGGCAAGAGACCCAAGAACTAATACGTGCATCCACTCAGGAAAAGGGCTGAGTGTTCTCAGAACAAGCTTCGATTTTCAAGCAATTAAGCTTTCAGATGAGACAATGAAACCCTTAAATCCTGCGCTCACATGCAGCTGCTATCCAATGTCTATCAATTTCAAACACTTTCAGAGGCCATTATATGAGGTCTGGGACTGTGCCTGTGCCCAAAATAGCACGCTGGTTTTTACACTGATTACCTTGGATTCTTAAGATGCCTTAAGATGCTCACAGACATTCAGCTGTCAGCAAAGAGAATAAGTGATTTGCTAATACCAGAAGGTTTAATTGCTGAGCAGTAACTGATGAGCATTTTTCAACTTTGCTTTACTACCCTCTATCCTCATTATTCAGTCCGGCCTTGATCAGGGCAGGAAGGAAGCTCCTGACCCTAATACCTCATCCTTGCAAGGCAATATTAGAGCAATATTAGATATTTTAGATCGCTGAATCTGAGAGGTAGATGGATAATTCCTTCCCTTCCCCAAACACGTGTGTTCGGATTAAAAGTTGACTTTGGACTTCAGACTTTCTTTTTTGACTGTTGATCTGTTTGCTCTTAGGTTTACTTTTCACACTTTTTTCCCCAAAAACAATTTCATTTTTCCCTCTTCCATCCATCCAAGTTGCCGTCACTATTACTGTGTTCTACAGAAAGGAGCACACAGCTACTACACCACATCCACATACTCTTTTCTTTAAGACCACAGGAAACATGCCCCTTTTCTACCTTGCATTGGAGCAGCATTTCCTCAGGTAGTAGGCGGCATTCAGGGAAAAAGAAAGGCATGCTGTTGCGTAAAGGTGAATTTTATTGAAGTGATGGCCACATGAAAAGGGCATCACAGCCCTAGTAATTCTGAAATTACTACACCACCTTTTTATCTCTTTATACATTTGGTTTCAGCTTGGGGGTGTTAACTGCTATTTGGAAGGCTCTTTTGAGAGACATTTTCACAGTAGCAGGAACAATCAGTTCAGGAAGAAGTGGTGCACCAGGTGAAGCCACTCATGACAGTTTTAAAGTATTTTCCTCCCCAACAATTTCAGGATACTGTGATTCCAAAGCAGAAGGATGCAGGGAGATGCAGCAAGGAGGATTTAAATTCTTCTGTCATGCACTGGGGAAGGCAGAGGTGGGTCAGGAAAGGAAGACACAACTCCACTCTCCCCTGTAACCACTTCTAATGTGGGTTCCCTCTGGCCCTTATTGAACCCCAAACCCAACTGGTCATTATCTACACTTAAGTCTTTCAGCTTCTGGTCTTCCAAGTGGAAGATGTTTTGCTTGCATTGATGGGCCTCTGTTCTGTAGAAAGTGGAACACAAGGCACATATATAACCCACTTTTAAGTCAAAGCCCACATAAATAGTTAAAATAGGGCCACAGGGCCTACAATGTCTGAACTCAGAATCACTCTGCATAGTGACAGTAGGGTCTCTTTTATTAAGCTGTGCCCTGCTGTTGGGAAGCTAGGGCTGAAAGCAGGGAGATAAGAGTAAAATCTGGTCTGAAGCTTAAAGTCTTTGGGTAGGGATTACACTTTCTGGAAAATACCATAACAACTATGACACTGTGAAGAAAGGAAAAAAATAGAACCAGAAAGCAAAGCCAGCACAGCGCTCTTCCAACAAAGAGCACCACAGCACGTCAAGCAGCAGCAGTAGTTACAACTTTCAAGCATAGCTGTGATTTGCTTTCAAAAAGCAATGCTGTACATTACAAATACATGACAGAAAAACTTCATTATGCAAAATAATTCTGCTTCTAGTCCACAGTCTTCTATGCCACTTAATAGAAGCGCATATTAAATCTTGATATGTTTGTTTGCAGAGTTTATTGCCACAAAGGTTAAATTCTAGCAGTCTTAGCATTCAAACACAGTTTAGTAGTTATTAAAATAGTTTTATATTAAGACTTTAATCTTCCATTGTACAAAAAATATATATAGCAATGCAAGAGGTGTCCACTACATTCATCAGTATAATACTTGAATTTTACTAAAATCAGTGAGCATGCAACTCAGACCTGAAAAGTCAATAAGCAACTGGTACTTAGTACAGCCAGTGATATGTTACTTGCATACATTTATTCACAGTTTACAACGATAAATAATCTTCAGTTCTGACATAGGCATTTAAAAAGGAACTTGTCACAGCTTTCCACAGACAGTTGAGCAGGCATCATGAAGAAAAGACTAAACCAGATCAGCTGCAAAGTTTGAACCAAATGAAAAGAATTTGTACCCCTTTGCTCATGTGCTTCCATTGTTCAAGTCACAGCAGGAGAATGACTTGCACATATTTTTATGCATATTTGAAACCTCCCCTCGCTCTGTTCTAGCATTCTTTTGAGTGACATTAACCAAGTTCAGCTGCAAATGGGAGTTAGAATTAAACGAGATCTGGAGCAAATCACAGATGTTGAGGGTATGGTTATCATTTCAAAAAACAGCAAATATGGCTTCGTGCTTGCAATCTACATTTACAAACCGCAGATGCCCTATGCTGTCAGTTTTCAGTTTTGTGACCTGAAACAGGATGTTTTCACTGGTAGCACAAACCATAAAGATTCCAGTTAGAGCATATAATAGAAGAAAAAATAAAAAATGGTACTCAAGAGTATGGAAAGAAATTAAAATACCTAAATGAAGTATGCTGGATATGTCAGTTGTGCACTGAAATATATACAAGTAAAAAAAATCTAAAAGCTCAGTTACCGAACAGTTTATTCACAGTACATGCTGACTTTCTGTTCTTATATGCAAATACATTTCAGCCCTGAACAAAGCAATATTAAAAGGAATAAGCATCATTTCCTCAGGGCCTCAATTAAGATGGACAGAAAGAAAAGAATACTATTTAGCATTGGTATGTGTAGCAGGGAATGATTCACTGTAAAACTGCACAGAGAGCATACGAGTGGAAAAAAACATTAAAGGACTCTGGTTGTAAGGTAAGCAGGGTACAAAAGCACTTGTAAGCACTTCAGTAATGTACAAATAAATTAAGATAGTGAAAGGCAGTATGGACTAGCAAGGGGAAAAAAGACACAAGCTTAAAAAAAGGTGCTGTGCTAGTAATAGAAGAAATACTTCTGTTTCAGAGATTTATTTTTCTTGGAAACGAACAAAAAAGCCATTCTGTTGAAGAGCCTGGAACAGAAATTAAAGTACCTGTCCAAAAGATTTGTGCAAACTATGTGTGCAAACACAGAAGTGACAGAAGGTAACATCTTTGATCATCAGGACATTTAAAAGATGCATCTATTGATGAAATCTGTCCTTTTCCCTCCAAAGTCACCACTAGGAATCTGATACATGAACTCATAATTCTTCCTTTAGTATCTTCAATAAAACTATGAGTAGCCTTTTAAGTACAGGCATCACTGCAGTAACACAAGATTTCTTCCTGGTCTTGAACAGAACCTCAGGTTACAAAGTCATAGCTTAAGCCTTTTCTCCTAAAGCTTCAGCTCACTTATGACTGCTGATGTTGGAATACTATCCTAACACTTCCACAGATGCCATTAATCTCCATTACAGTACCATGCCCCAGATGTGCCAGACATTACACTTTATATAGCTTTAGGCACCTTCTAAATTTTGTGGACCACTGCCTTCATATCTTCACTCCAGCTACTGCGTAAGAAAAATATAACCAAGACTAAAAATTTAGTCAAAACAGAAAATCCCACTTCTGTTTCCAAGTGATCTTACACCTTGTAAGCATCACCAGAAAGGAAATAACTACTTTAATTTCTACATGCAGAGAATAGCACGAACCGTATAGATTAGTGAGCTGACAAAAACGTGAAAAACTGTAAACACTTCAAAATGCTTTAAATCTGAAATCTAGTTATTCCAGTTACTATTAGATCAAGTTTTAAATCAACATCAGAATACCTGGCACGGATTTGCCAAATTCTGTTGCAAGCAATTTACAGTTAATTTTGTCACTTCTGATCATCAGCTCTAACAAGAGGTACACTGCTGTCAAACAGCACAGAACAGCCTTTCAGAGCTACCAAGGCTTCTTCCTTAGAAAAAGCTAAAAAGCTGAAAACAGAGAAATCTTAAAGTAGAACAACCCATTGGTGTTGTAGCACTGAACTGTGTTTTTTTGTTTTGCAATGGTGGAATGTGTTTAAAGCTTCAGTATTTCCACTGTCTCATCGAAGTCCTGACCAGCTGTGAAGGTATGAAGCCCAGCCAGAGGGCCTTGAGGTACTCTCTTCCTCACCTGAAGGAGAAGAAAAACATACTGTGAACTAAATTTAGTGTGCTAGACATTACATCATTTGGAAAACTGATCTTGACACCCTCCTCCCCTCTGTCAGTTTTCAAATGCTATCCTTGTAAACTTGCTGAAGAGGTAACATTTACTTATTTTCATGTTGCCAAAAACGTGTTCAAGGAATTTAATCACCAAGTGCACTTAAAATAACCACTTTATCATCTTCAGAAAAATCCGGCTCATAGTGCCAGAACACTGAAATGCTATAGGCTTAACTGAAGTCATACATTTCCAAATGTGGAGATTATCATGGAATGCATTATAATGTCACTTTTCATGTTCAGTGTTTTTGTTCAATAGTTTTAAGTGTTCATATATACACACGGTATTTACAAATTATTTTAAAATAATAGAGTAAGTATATGTCAGTTGCTAATGATGTGCTAAAGCTACATGTTGATTTTGAGAAGATACAAACAATACCTTAAAAAGGATTTTTAAGGGGACAAACCAGATAATGTTCTGGCTACTTGTCAAATACTCTGTTATATATCATTACAGCTCTTGGGTTAATTTCTTTAAAGGCTTAATTCTTCTGCCTTCCTTCCCTAGTTCCAACAGTTCTTAAACAAGAGGCACACTTAGTTGAAGATGTTTTTTAAATTAAAGCTGATTTATTGAAGCGAATATTAGGTCTGCAGTACTGCCTTTAGAGAACCACTTTAATTATCTTTTTAAAACATCTGCCAAGAAAACTATTAACCTATGGGAACCTCTATTTTTAAGGTCACTTTGACAAATCTTTAATCCTACTCAAAATATTGAACACATTACATTTTTATAGCTTACTATCATCTTTCTAAAGTGTGTCAGAAGTAATTAAAATTTAAGTATACATGTAACTATGTTTTCAGGTATTTATCAATTTTATGAAAACTGAATAGTAGATTCCCAGAAGACTAGCATGACTTTATTTTAGCTCACAGGCATTATGCTACTAAACTTGCTGCTAAACTTTGTTTTTCCCCAAAGGTCTACATAAAAGACAGAACAGAATTCCAGTTGCCTTCAGTTCCATTTTTTTTTTTTTTTTTTGGTGACAATGTTTTGAATCTCACTTACCTTGGGCAATTGCAACCAGCTTTCCTTTCTCTTCAGGACTGAGCTGCAACATGGTGTCTATTACTGGCAGCAGCCTCTCTCTCTCACTTCCCGATTTTAGAAATATAAACTGCAACAGAACGTTCTTCAGATATTCCAGATTAGCTACAGACTTTTCTCTCTCCTGATTTCGTTCCAGTCTTCTTATTTCACTCTTAAGAAGCTGCACATGAGGAAAAAGACCACACAATATTGTTTGCGTCACAGAAAAACAATTGAACAATAGTATTTTGAAGAGCTAAAATGCAAATTATTCAGCTTGCTTCAGAAAGGATGATGTGTGCATAGCAACGTTCTGGACAACAACCCAATGAAGCTTGAACAGGTGATAATTTTGTCCAGAAATAAGTTTTTATTGATCAGAAGTAATTATTCTAGTAAAATATATTCAATAATTATGAGATACTATTCAATTTCAGTGGTAAAGAGTTGAAAAGTTAGAAAACCTGGATCAGAGGGTTAACAAAATTGTGTTACAAAAATCATTTATAAAAGAAGTGTTACATTTAGTTAAGAAAAGTTACATTTACATTAACTTTAAAAATGTTTTTAGAAAAATTCCAGGAGGTACAATCAAATCAAACCAGGCTCTATTAGTATGTTTAGAGAGATGCATATATCTTGTTTTAACTTAGGACAGTTGGAAAGGGATTACAGGAAGAAAAACGAATGTTTTCCTCAGAATTTAGTGTTTTTAGCTAAAAAAAAAAAAGTAAAGGCACTTTACTAGACACTAAACTTCTAAAATCTGACTTTTTTTTTTTTAAACTTCCCCTCCATCCCAAATAAGAGAAACTGGAAAATAAAAAAGTTCACTTTAGAAGCACTAACTTCTTTTGTGGAATAAAGCCCTTCCCAAAATTAAGTTTTGCATCACTGAATTTCCATAGACTGGGATTTTCTGAAAGATGTTTGGTGTTAAACATTTGGTCTACAAAATAGACCATAGAAATTAGAGCTGTCCCCACATTCACTGCACATCTGCTAACCTTTATTTGTTCCATTAGGATCGCATTGGTTGCTTCTGATTCACGAAGTAATTCATTCAAGTGATCAGCACTCTTCGTTGTTGTGTTTAATTTTTGAATCAGTTCATCCTTGCTGAGCTCTGTTTGCCACTGAGATGGTTCTGCAATGAATTGGAAAAGAAAACTGAGAAAGAAGGAAAAGGCATTTGCGCCTACTTTAGGCTAACTTAACATTAGGACTTCATTAACACAGGAAATGAAATCCATGCAAATTCAAGCTGCCAAATTAATAGCCATCACTTCTGCTGGTGCATGCTCATTTTGCAAGCTATTTTTGTATACATAAATTTCTTAGAAGAGGACCAACAAATCAGCTCTAAGTACATCAAGATATATGGTTTTAATTTAGCCCTTGTTTCCCACCCATATATGGAGATTTTTCAACATTTCTCCATACGGTATTCAGTAGACTTCTCAAAACACAACTAGATGCTACCATTTATTCTTCTACCTTTTCTACTCTTTTATTTTCTACTGTTCTTCACACTGGCTTTCATTTTCCTGAAAATGATATGAATTCCTGTTCTGATAAAGATGAACACACAGTTTATCTTTTCATTAAGGAGAGTTATTTCACTTAATTGTCTCAAGCAAATACTAGTCCAGAACACAGTGCTGAACTATTCTGATTTATTCAACCATCTTTTTTCCCTTTAGAAAGTTACAGATACAGTCTTTAAATTGCTAAATACTGTCACAAGTTTTTGTTGTTAATCTTTACTGAAGGAAAAGACTCATACAGAACTTCAGGACAGGGTATACTGAGTGGAACTAATTAGATTTGTGTATTGCACCTATGAGCCTGAGAACAAAGTATTTTTGTGTATTTTGAGGGTGCAAATTTCTGCAGCTTACACAGGCAAATGCTTCCAAAAACCATGCGTTCAACCTACCAGGCTTTGTTTCTGGGGAGTTCAGAAGCTGTTCCAAGGATGGAATGTAAGTGCCAGCAGAAGACACAGACTCTGTGTCTGTAGTTTCCATACCCTCTCCCTCTTCCCTGGCTACAGCATGCACATCAAGAACAGGGAGGTCAATGTTTCGCCGTTCTCTTGAGTTCTTTGTTGCTGGATTTGAAACAGCTGGACCTGAAAGATACTTACTGATGATTGTCATCAAAATGAAATTGGTTGGGTTATTTCACAAGTGCACCAGTCTTGGATTAGAAAGCAGTACATAAAGTACAGCCTTAAAAGCCAGATACAAGCATGACATTTTAAACAGAAAATACAGCCTTTCACCTCAAAATGACCATTTCAGTCAAAGCCAGTTTCTAAATCCAAACTTGATTAGCAGTGTTCACTTCAGTGACTATGAAACCTTAATGCAACATCCTTGAATATGTTGTAGCTATGACAAGAATGCCAAATGTTTTTAATGCAAAACAGTATTAGCTTTTCTTTCAAGTAGTCCTGTGGGTGGTGTAAGTTAGTTTTAATACTTTGTGTGCTATTGTGCTGCTTCAGTACAATCAGTTACTGCACTACAGGTAAATCACATATGGAAAGACCAACTTCTTAAGTTGTTACTGCTTCCTGACAAATACCTGACTACATCCGAATTAGTAACTGCACAGATAAAAAATAGTGCTTGAGCTTGAACAGAGTAAAGTTTTAAATTAGAAATGGGGTCAAAAAGCAAGTATACAAATAAATATTGTTAAAACACCTTTCAATATGCTTTTCTGCAGCTATACCCCTCATTCTGGAGGCAGAAGTCCACTAACCTCTCTAAAACCTGAGACAAACTGATAGGGAGAGCACCAAATATTTACAAAGTGATTTCCCTCCATCTGTCTCAATATACAAGCTGCATAAAACAAGTGTTATTACTCTACCTTCAAAATAAATATCTTGTTCTTTACTCAGAATCAGTGAACTGATATGGCTCACTGCAAGTTTTCCATAGTAAGTTTCTGCTGCATTGTAGAACCACACACTATAGCTTTGTTACAGGTACACACTCAAGTACAGAAAATATAAGTAATGCCCCAGAAGTGTGTAACCCAGGAAAACCTGGTTTTATGACCAGAAGTTACCTCTAGTGCTTGGTTCACTCTTGAGCTGGAAGAGCTGAGCTTCTACCCTGGAGAGTTGCTGCTGAAGTGTCTCTACTGTCTTCCTGTGCTCTTCTTGCAGATTCCTGACTTGATCTCTGAAATTGTTCCGGAGAGCTTCATTCTGGGCTGTCAGCTGACTCAAAGCCTGGGTATGCTCTGTTTTCATGACCATGTTCTCAGATTGTATCGTGCAGAGCCTGAGAACAGCATACACACAAAATGTGAGGAACAAACACCAAAATACTTGTTTTTTACATGTAAAGTTTTTTTTAAGCTTAAATTCAACTCTAAAATTGCAACACAACTATTTATATCCTCATGCAAGGCATGTCATTTACTTTGTATTTCTTTTAACATTTACCAAACACTCATACAGAACTTCTGAAAACATACATTTCTATGATAAGTTTTTTTTAAACTTCAGAACTCAGTGAAAAAGTGGGTAGAATAACCATTCTTGGAAAGAAATGTCAGCATTTTTTGCATCAATTGTACTCAATTTGGCAGCACTCCACAAGCAAGACAAAATTGTCACAAGCAATTAAACGAGTGCATGTATGGAATGACTAAGCATAGGACTTGCCCTTATAAGCATACAAACTTAAATTCAGCCAGAGAAGCGAAGAGCTAGTCTTTCTGGGTACAAAAGAAACCTACTGTGGTATAGCTGGTTTCCAGAGAAATGCAAAACGATATAATTCAGCTGATTACAATGAATCATCACATGGCTATCAGGAACACAAAACAGTACAAAGATAAAGACAAAGTCAAGAATTCCTAAGCCTAAGCTGTAACTTCTAATGAGTATCTCATGTGAGTTTTTTGAACCCTAAAAATAAAGAGAAGGCACAGAAAGACATTTGAGAGCTCAAGTAGGTCCTCATGTCATTTCTCAAGAAGCAATGCACATTAAACAGACTCCTTACATTTTGGAAGAACGATTGTGGTAAATAGGGACTTGGAAGAAGTACTTTCCGTAAGGAAGGCACTTCGTGGTGGATATTTTATCATGGAAATTCCTATGGAAATAGTTGGCATTTAACCACAGTATTTTTCCAATAAGAAACAAATGCATAAAATGTAGCTGAGCAGTCAAACAGAAATGTAGTGTTGAGCTTTGGACTCAGCAAATAGTCAGCAAATTCAACATGCTTAAAAAAATGTTAATTTTTAAAATCTGGCATTTAATGAGTAGAAAGCTTGCAAAGATCTCATTCTCGTCAGCTACTGCTTCATTTTCACTGCTGAAACCTCTAATGCTGACAAAAAGTAGCAAACTATCCTTTTGAAAATTCCTTTAACCTTCTCTACAGCTACACCCTTTCTTTCAGAAGTATTGTTTGAAGCCAGCTGCCTGCCCAGTCCTTTAGGTTTGCACAAAGTGTATCTAGTCATCAGCAGACCCTACTTTTCACGGAGTTCTGCCTCTTTTGCAACTGTCTCTTGAAGCATCTTATTGTGTCTTTCCAGCAGGGTGTCATGTTCAGACTGCAACGCCTGGAAATCAGCTGTATTTAGCTGTAAATTATGCTGAACATCTTGTAGCTTAACTTTAAGTTGATCTATCACCATTTCCAACTGTTCTCTGCAAGGGGGAAAAAAAGAAAAGGTATGTTTAGAAAGTTATATTATCTCAGAACCTATATTATATGCACAGCATTTAACGTAGCTGATCTGAATTAGTTTATTCCATATTTGAAATCACTACAGCACTCTGACCATAATCATCTTAGAATGTGACTACAGCAGAAGTGATTAGGAAAGTTCTGATCATGTTTTAATATAGGTGCAAACTGGTTTATCACATCCCATCTGAACTGCTGGGAATGTACCTTCTGGGGTAGGAAGGTGTGACTGCTACCACTTTCTGCTTCAATCCAGTTTGAAGGAACAAGAGAGAAGAATAATATGTGGCATGCAGACACAAGAAAGAACTTCTACTTAAAAGTAGAAGAGGGCTGTTTGCTTAGTAAATGCATATCAATTCAGTGAGACTGAATAAAGTGGACAGTAATCTCCAACCACTTCCTAGGAGACTGGCAAAGGAGTAGAAAGCAGCATCAATCCAAATAAGATATATTTCTGACCAAGAGAATTTATCAGAATCAGATATACCAGTAGGAGTAAGTCTTTTTACATATTTACATATTGTTACTTCCATTATTTCATGAATTGCATATCCCATTAACCCTTGGAGTTAATACTTGTAAATCATTCCTTTGAAAATTGTCTGTTTATTATTACTTGTCCACTTCAATAAGTGACTCTCCTTCATGAGCTTCTTGAACAGGAGACAGAAATGCAACTCTTGCAGTTTTCTTGCTTCAAAGAAGTAGATGCATTAAACAAACACACCATACAACCAAAAAAGACCAAGTCCTCTAACAAAACACAAGTCTCCCTCTGGTGGATTGTCAGCAGCAATTTTATGTGCTGTTTTAAGATCCATGTCAGAAACAACTTACAACATCTTATACAAAAACACCCAGTCTGTCTCCAAGGTCACACATCAACAGGATCTAAAAATAACTTACAGAAACAGATCTATTTTCAATGAGATTCATACACATTCTGAAGTGAACCTGAATTTACATGGCTCACAACTATATTTAAATGATCTCCAGGGAACTTTATGCAGTGTAATTTTTTTCAAGTCTTTCCATATATAATAGCTGATAAGACAACAGCCTAAATCTGCTGGAATTGATGACTGCATTGGCAGCCAGAGCTTCACCTACAGTAAACCATTCCTTCCTGAAAAAGGATCAAAGTCAGCTCAGATGAGCAGTATCAATCTGGTGTTAACTTCTTAGTTGGTGCATTGCTTCAATGCTTTACATCAGAGAAAACATTTCAAATTTACAGAAGTGACACTGGTCAATTTCTGCTTATGAGAACCATGAAAATCTTTTTAGTACTATATATTTCCTCCCAACTGAAAAAGCAGGTAACCTGGAGAATAAATATATTACAGATGAATCAAGGGATTAGAAACTAGCATAGTACTACTGAGAGCTGAGACATGGTTCAAAAATTGATGATCTTTTTTCTGTTCAGATAGGGAGAGCCAGTTAGAAAGTCAAAGTTAAAAAAGTTAAGAGTTAAATAGCTCTATTTCTATACACACTTTTTTCCCCACTTTTTGGTCAGTCATTAGCACAATAATTCAAGTACCAGTATTCTTCTGTACACAAAAGTTTTGGTTTTACCTTTCTTGTTTGGCTCCCTCAGTTTCTGTCTGAGAAGCAGATTTATTCTTTTGCTGTTTTAGAACATTGTGAACACGAACTTTGTAGCTCTCAAATTCAGATGTAACAGATTCCTGTTCAGCCTATGACAGAAGATAAGTTCTTAGTAAGTCATGCGATTGCCTACGCTCACCTATGTGCTCTAAAATGAAATGCATCTTGTGCTGAAAAAAAAGTAAAATGAACCACCAGCAGCATTTTCTTCTGAATGGATAATTAAAACAGGTGTATTGCAACAGATTGTGTTTTTCTTTAGATCTTAATTGAATGATATTATCAATCTTGAAACTTAAGAACAAGAAGCTACTGATATTCAAAATTATTTATTTATATTCTGATTCAATATTTATATACTATTAATATATTTATGTATTACATATTTATATATATTCTGATATTAAAATTATTCAAAATCTGAGTCTTCAAGAAAGGGAAGAATATTTACAAAACCCAAGAATTACATTCAGGAGATATTCATGTGTTAAAGGGTCTATCAAACAGATTTAAAGGAAAACAAAGCAAAGATGAAAGGAAGAAAAAAAGAGGGTCTAGTTTTCCTTTCTATGCTAAGTGTCAAATGTCTAATAAGCTTGGAAACTAGACATAATTGAGAAGTTAGGTCAGCCTTGAAGGGATAATATATAGTGTAAGATATGATATAGTTGCTTGTAAGGGTAATTAGTTTGTCTGCTCTTCTGAACTGAGCTGATACACAGCTGAGACACTGGACAGAAAATTGCATCACAACATAATGCTTCATCCTTCATTGTATAGTATACAGGCAAGAGTTATTCCCATGTGAACAAGTACTCGTGCTATTTTCTACGAAAATACAGTTGTAGGTTTTCATTCTTGGCTTTTAAGGACGCTTACATGTCCAGTCATCCCTGCGATGAATAAAGTTTTCTAATTTCCACAGTGATCCACATCTACCAGTGGAATTCAGGCAGGCCTCTTGTAGGACTAACGACATAGTTAGTCCATTTCAGTTCACCTTCTAAAATCGAGATGTTTTTTGGAAGGCACTCATGTTACTTATCTGTAGGACTGGCATCTATCATACAAAACAAGCTGTGGATCAGCACACTAGTCTGTGTAAGTACAGCTGGAACATAACACTGCTACTGAGCCTGCCTGTTTCTAATGCAAAAAACAGAAGTAAATTCCAGGCACATCTAACACTGTATCATACAGCCAAAAAATAGAAATAAAACCTCAGCATTACTGTCAACTCCACACGTAACTTAGCTGCCAATTACGAAGCTGCTCATACAGCAGCATATTAAAAGGTGCTTGTGAATACACTTCATTGATTTTTCTTTTAAAGTGGTAGCTATGTTACTGTTTTTATAAGCAAATGATACTCTTCCCCCCCCTTTTCTTTAAAGAAAGAGGTGATTACTTCTCTTTTCTCCCCAATGTGTATACTTTCTGCCCATCTTAAATGAATTCTGACATACCACTGCTATAAGGTTTTTCCTACTGGAAACAAGACTGCAGTCCAGACATTCCACCACAAATGGTGCAGGACAACCAGGACAGACTGGCTTATCCACTACCATCGCTCAAATACAAAAAGCACTGAGATTTTCCCAAAGAATTTCCAATTCTTGACAGACCAAAGACCTGCAAGTATTTTTAGAGAAGCAAATTCAGTCTCCTTTCTAAAGTCTATGACATAACTTCTATGACAGTACCTGGGCTGCTCTGCATTCTTCTTGCAAAGTTGCAATTTTTTGCTGGTAAGCACTCAGTGTACGCTGGTGTTGCTCTGCAGAAGTTCGTAACTGTTCCTGGACTTTATGCTTTTCCGATGTTAATACAGACACTTGAATCTGAAAAGGCAAGTTGAAAACTCAGTCTCTAGTATGACATTTTTCTTCCCTTTTCAAGAGGGTGTGCCACAGAGCACATCGTATTGTATTACAGTAAACCCTGCCCAGAATTGGTGAATATAAAAATTAAAATCCAATAAAAATAGGACAAATAGACATAAGTTATGATATACTTAAAATATGGCATTTTTTAAAGAGAAAACTGAAAACTACAGTGGCAGGTGTGGTGACAGCATGTAAGAATGAGAAACTTCCATGCTACTATTCATGATATTCTAAGAGAATTTACACAGATGAAAAACACAAGTTTCTGCTGTCACATTTTTGTTTTTTATACTGAGCAGCTCCCATACTCAGTTATTTTAAGATTTATCCCAGTTAAAAGCTTCAAAGTTATTCGGTTCTCTGTTCCGGGGAAAAGAGAAAAGAGGAGCAAGAAGGGGTAAACCTGTTTAGACAACATCACAGGGAAAATATTTGGGAAAAGCAGCAAACAAAATCATTCAAGAAACAGAACCAGTAACTAGGTAATAAAAAACACTTTCCTTCTTCAGCTTATATTCCATCTGCCCACAACAAATCACATCTGTATTGCTTATATAAGAAATACTAACATAACTTTATTACACTAACAAAGAATCGAAATGTCTTGCCTTAAAGGATTCCACTTGTTGCTGACTGGCTTCCAGTTCCCCTTTCAATGATGCCTGCAACATTAGATGATCATTTTCCTGCATGATAGAAGTATCTGGTTAATTAAAACAACAAACCACTTTGTAATTCAGCAACAAGACCATTATTTAAAAGCCAGTTTAAAAATGGAAGTATGCAGTCATTAACTGCTGGACTTACAGCTTGTTTTGAATCAGCCAGTTCTTTTTTGGTTTTCACCAGGAGTTGTTTTATCTTGGCATTTCTTTCCTCATCTTGTTGCATACTTGACTGAAGTGACTCTAGTGCAGAAAACAGCAGTTACATGCTAAGAGTATAGCATACTATATTTCCTCCTATATTTCCTTAAAACTATTGGAAAATATTTAAGCAAGTTCTGACAGATTTTGGAAGAACTGTTAAGTTACTTGTTTATTGTATCATTTCTGTATCAAGACCTTCTTACAAATGAAACTGTTTCGAGAGTTCCACTTAAGGATAGGAAGAAACCAAAGTTTTTAACCACACTGTTAACTAGTAAAGCTTTGTAATTGTGGTATGTCAGCCTGAAAATCACTGCCAATCACTTTCAGAAGTAATGATTTCGTTAATTAGGTAAGAAACCATTTGTCAGTCATGCTATTTAGTTTTTCATTTGCTGAATACTAGATCAAGCAACTGAAGACCTAGTAAAGTTTACTTTCTAGAAAGTATTTTCAACTATGTAACTGCTTAGTGTTCCCTCAAAATCTTACTCACACTCATCAACGTAGGACATATCCGAATTTTTTTTTTAACCATTACTACTAATTGTGCCATACCTACTGTTTATATTTTACTCACTTATTTCTTCCTGTAAGGTCTCTTGTTTCTGTTTCTGAATCCTTGTCTCCTGCTCAAGATCTTCTATTCTACTGTCTTTATCGGCAATCTTCTGATTAAGCTCTTTTACTAGCCTTTCATAATCAGCTATTTCCATATCCATCAGTGTACTCTTCTGAGCATCCTGCAAGTTACATACAAAGAAGATACAAACTTAAAAATCTGCCTCAGCTGCCAAGAATTCCTTCCTTACCCACTCCAAAATAAATGAGAAATATAGTTGTTTGATCTTTTAACAAAAAGTCTTTATAACTATCGATACCCACAAACAATACCCACCCATCAGGTTTCCATATCCTCAGCAAATAATTTGTTTTTGAATAAGAACCAAAAGCTTTAAAGAATCTGTTGACAATTTCAACAGTTTTAAGCAGTATGTATTTTGCAGCTATCGGTGTATACCATCTTCGCTCCTTGCAAGGGTGACTTCTGAATAGTGCACTATACAAGTACTCCAAACACCTGAATTCTATTCCTTTCTAGTCATGATAAAATGCTTACCCAGGCTAAGAACAACCCTCGCTCTCCCCTGCCAAATACCTCCTCAAAAAGTACACACATCAGCTCTGCAAAGAAAAATGGGTAAAAATCCTGATGTTTTTCCTTTTGCATACCTTAGGATTAAAGTCCTCAGAACAAAACGGGAGACGTTAAACACAGCAAGAAGGACCAAAATCGTTGGTAGTCTGTCAAGTACTAACACAAACAACAGTAATAACTGTACCTTTTTGGCCAGCTCTAATTCTTGAATAGTCTTCTGCAGATGCTTCTTTTCCTTCTGTAGTTGCGTCTGAAGCTCCTCCAATTCTCGGAGAGCGCCACTATGTTCCTGAAATTTAAATACTTTTCGATTATGCAGTCCAATTTCAAAATAGATGTCTGATGAGTACACAAGTTTACAACCAGACACACTCTCTACAGTTACACAAAGATAAGATTATTCAGGAAGTCACTGGGAACCAAAGAAAACTTGGTAAGGCTATAAGATGTTGTTCACATTTCGTTAGCATCTCCAATTAACTCTAAGTGATAGTACTGCAAAGTTCTTTTAATGAACACACTAAGCCTTCAAAAGAAGACCAAGTGAAGTAACAAGAGAAAGCATGGAACTTGTTCTAAAATAAGCACAATTTATAAAAACTCTTCCAGAAGTCACATTCACCTGACAGTAATGCAAATTGCAAAATGTAAATCCATTCCCCATCTGCACGTAGTATTACCTTTATTTTCTGTTCTTTTAGAAGCCTTTCTCCTTCCAGTTCTTTTTCAGCTTTTGCCTTGACTTTTTGTAGCTCCAGTATCTGAGCTTCCAGCAGCTTAGTATTACATTGCAATGTTTCGACACGAGCCAGTAGATCTTCATTAGCAGAATGTAACTGATCATGCTACAATGATGGTAGCAGGAAGATAAGCTGAATCGGCATGTGACTGATTAATAAGATACTATCCATACTTAAAAAACAGACCAGGCACACTGATTTTCATCCATTTGTCATACAATCAGCACTCCTACCAATGATAGTAGGAAGTCTCATCCACCTTAATTGCTTTAAACCAGATTAAGAAACAGGCTAAATTAAAGTCACCAGCACAACTTGGTTATGTTATTCAGAGTCCCTGTGCCCAGCTTTCTGTATGACAGTTGTAACAAATTTGAAAAACACCTTTTGGCTCTCTGCAAGAATTGTTTCCTACAGTAATACGCAAGATTCAAATACTCAATCACCCCACAGCAAGTGCAGTTGTATTTATAATTGAATCACCATCCCATTAATCCCCCCTAAAACATTTAGCTTCAGCACCACCAACCCTTCAATGAGATCACATCAGCACATAGAAAGAACTCTTCCTGTGTCTGGACTACTGCTGCAATGGTTAGCAGCAGTATTTTTGACATCTTCAATATTTTTATCTCAGTCTCTATCATGCAAATTAAGAATGCAGTATGAATGAAGTATAGGTGAAAGAAGCTGACAATTGCCTGAACAGTGTTTTTATTTACAAAATACTTTATGCAGAAGTTATTTTTCAATTTATTATAATCGGAGTATATGCTATTTGTGATTTTTTTTTCTTATGCTATTCACTGCTAGCTTCTGTTTATAAGAAGAGTGGCCTAGGTCAATCTTCAGTGTAGTTATGTGGCCTGAGAGTTTAAATCCTAAATCCCAAGCCCATTTCAGTTAGCATTGCAGAATGTCTCACAGATGTTTAATCCCATCTTAGACTTTTGAATGTCACTACAGTACTCCACAATGCATCCTAAAGTCTAATTCTGTAGAAGATCCAAAAATACCTCACCACAGTTAATTCCATATGTTTAAACATTCAATTGGTTAAGCAACAGGCATATTTTGTCTAAGGAACTGAAAAAAAATTTAACACTAAGGTTACTGTACTTCATGAGAAGTGTAGGTGTGGAATCAAAAATAGCCCAAGTCCAATACTTGTTTTTGCATTTGGTACATGCGACAGAGTTGTGTCTCTAACTGAAGTAGGGCTGGACACCTGCTCTTTTTTGTGAGCTGACCTTCCTATTAAAAAGGCCAGTCACTCTGGACATCCTTAACTTTCTCACAGTCCAGATAAGCACCAGATGCTGAGGAAAAAATGAACTTCAATTAACTATCCATAACACACTTTAGTAATAATACATAATTTCATAACCAGTCACACAAACAAAACTAAGCCCAATAGCTCAGACACAAACACAGAACTGACCTGCTGGGATGACACCTGTAGCTGTCGTGTGAGGTCATCTAGCTGACGTTCAAGATTAATCGCTCTGGCTTTTTCAGAATCCAGCTCTTCTCCTTGCTTATCATATTCCATCAAAAGATTCTTAACACAAACACACACAAACTTCAATTTCTACAATATACATCGCTTGTCTTTAGCGCATGCTAAACCCTAGACACTTATCCTTCCAATATTTCAGCATTGGAGGTGCTTTACTGCCACATCAAAAGCATCAAAATGAAACTACAGCTGTAGTTTCATTACAAGAGAAATCGGGAGAAGTCATTTTCAGTTCATGAATTTCAGTTCATGAAACTAGAATAATTCAGGTTGGAAGAGACCTCAGGAGGTCTATGTTCAACCTCCGGTGTAAAGCAGGGTCAGCAGTGAACTGAAACCAAGTTATTCAGAGCTTTGTCCAGTCAGGCTTTTCATCCCTGCACAACCTGTTCCAAAGCTCGACTGTCTTCAAGGCAAAAACATTCACTGTATAGCCTTTTTTTTAAAAAAAAAAAAAAAAGCACCTGCTTTTTTTTTTTTTTTTTAAAAAAAATTCTGTCCTTCTAGACCATAACATCTTAACTTGTACAGGAGTATTGAGAGAGATAGTGTTAAAGGCCTTCCTAACGTCAAGCTAAGTGACATTCACTACTCTCCTCTCATCCACAACTCCAGGTGCTCTATCACTGCAAGCAATCTGGCTTGGATTAGTCAGACATGATTTACTCTCGATAAATCCATGCTTACCATCCCCAGCCACCTGCTTCTCTTTCAGGTACCCAGAGATGTGCTCCAGAAGGACTTGCTCCCAGGGAGTTGTTAACTTTATTACTTAAGGATTTCTACGTTATCCCCTATTTTATATACTTAAATTCATAAGAACAGATTTGCCTCAGCAACAGTGTTTGACACACAATGCCAGATTTAAAGGTCAATTTAAGAATACTACCCAGGAGAAAAGAATTGCCTTGTTTTCTTCTGACAGTAGATACATGGTTCTTTTACTAGAACCTTACATTTCTTGATTGGGGTACTTAACTGCACTGGCATAATTTCTTTTACCAAACATACTTGTGCAAGTAAATAACATATATCCAGGCTAGGACTCAAAAGCAAAGTATTTTTCTGACAATTAACCATCTTTTGTAGATACAGTGTTCTTCCTACCTTATAGCTTTCAGCTCCTTGAATGACATCTTTCATTGAAGCAGACAGCTGATCTTTTTCTGATTGAACCGACTCCAATTCTTCCCTCAGCAATTGCATCTTATTACAAAGAAGCATATGTCATTAAAACAGAACCCTACAAGCAGAACGCTTTTTGTACTAAGAAGTGGTCAGAGTACCTCTTTTCTGCTGGCATCCAATTCTTTCTTTGCTTTCACAGCAACCATCTTGATTTTATTTAGCTTCTCTCCTTTTTCTGCAGATTCTTTTTCCAGCCTTCCTAAAATAAACAAGAAAGTAAATAAACTTGCTTCTCCTCCCCCCAAGAAACAAAATTCAATTAGAACGCAAATACTAGTTTGAAACAAAACAAAACCTAACATGTTGCAGGTATTCAAAGATTTCATTCTGCTAAGCCCTTCATTTCACTCTGAAGCTAGAACATCCAGCCTCACAGGTAAGCCTTCCCTGTTTCAAAGGCTTCCATTACAGTTTACAGTAAAAGCCATGTTTCTTTGTACTTCTACATATAATTGTAACAACTTAGAATAATTTTTTTCTATTGTGTTGGGATGACTGCAACAAGGCAACAGTAGCTTCAGCAAAGTGTTGCTTTCCTCTTTTCTTGGTAGCCTTAGGGATTCCTATTGACAAGTATTATCTGTATTAAAGATGAAATCTAGTACACTGTTTACAGTTAAATGTACTTAGGAAGAAAAAAGAAATATCAAATGAAAACAGACAAAATTGCTAATGTTACTTTGAATGCCCAACAAGAGGAATGCTGTAGGAATTAGCATTGGTATCTACTTCCCCATCTTCCTTGGTGTAGAGGAAATAAAGGACAACTATGCAGAGAAAGAAAAACTCCAAGTTTAAGAATACAAAAAAAAAAAACACAAAACTGTTTACATAGAAGACAACAGCAAGCAAGATACCGATTTTTTCCTGAAGCTCTGCTACTGAAGACTGTTGATCATTTTTCTCTGTCAATGTCTCCATTACATTCTGTATTATAAACAAAGATATGAGAAGTATTACAAGAAGTTTCTCTGTGATATCTGTTTTTCAACAAGCCACTAGCAGTTCCAGCTACAAGCTGGACTGCATCTGCATTCTTATTATCAAGAAAGTCTGCATGTGCAATTTCATATTAGCTTGGTAACTAGCCTGTTAACTGAAAAGCAAAATTATGTTGAAAGAAAAACATTCCAACATTTTAACAGCTGTTTTTCATCCTATTCGAGGACAAAAAATGGAGTACCATTAATGCTGACTGACCAGCTGTCAGTTTTACATAACCATCAATACCCACGACCTGAAGTAGGAGTAGGTAATGCAGATCAAGTAGTTTTGTTTGAGATGGAGCCACAGAAAAAGGTGAAAAATTAGGCCAGTTAGTCCATCTAGTTAAATGATCACTTTTGGCAAAACCAATAGGAAAACATTTTCAAATACAAGCACATTTCATCAAAACAGCATTAGGATTTTTGTTGCTGTTTGACTTTTTTTTTTTAAATTGAGGGGAGGGAAGGGAATCTGAGGTGCTAGGCAACTCAGAAACACACGCTTCCTAGAAGGCAAACTCACTTTGAGGCCAAGGTAAAAAAACAAAGAGAATGAAAGTATTTTTTGAACCTTAATTCTGAAGACTTTAGAGGTTTAGTCTGTATACTTCAATAACAAAATATAACCTTTAGAGAACTCAGTTCGTCTTTCACATTTCTAAGTTCAGTTTCCTTTTGTTCCAGAACGAACTTTAAGTCATCTTCGTTTTTGGATTCTTTTTGCTGTTCTTGCATTTGACTTTCATAAAAAGCAAGTTTTCCAGATATTTCTTCAATCTTCGCTAAAAGCTCTTGATTTTCAATTGTTGTTTTTTCACCAGCATTCTTCAGCTCCTGGATATCATGTTGAAGGGCTTCTTTTTCAGACAACATTCCTTCTAATTCTTCTCTCCAAAGACCTTTTTCTTTTTCAAAGTCCTCAATCAAGGATCTATGTTCTGTATACTGAGCTGCATTTTCTTCCTGTAGTCTCTCAACTTCCCTCTGCAGATGAAGAGCTTTCTCCTCATTCTGTAGAGCAAGGCACTGCTCTTCCTTCATTTTTGCCAAGCATTCATTTGCTATTTGTAGTAAGCTGAGAAAATCACAGTCCTCATCAGAATCTGAAATGCTGGACCCCACTTGCTCAAGGATGTGGTGTATCTGAGCTCTTACAAGGGAGCTGTGTGCTCGTTCACTTTCGAGTAATGATGAAATATGGTCTTTCTCTGCAGTCATCATCTGTAGTTTCTTTTCAAAGTTTTCAGACTGTTCTTTCAACCAACCATCTTTCTCAGATGTAATCTCTTCCAGCTTTTTACTTAAGTCACCTTTTTCCTGAACGATTTTCTCATTTTCCTTACGAAGAGTATACATTTCAGATGAAAGGTTCTCTCTTTCACCCACCAGTGAGTCAACCTGCTTTTCCAGTTGCATTAGCAGTTCAGCATTTTCATTCTTTGCAGTTAAAGTTTCATTCAGTTTCTCTGTTAATTCCTCCAGCTTTTTCTTCAGGTCACTATTGTCCTTGTTAACAACATTTATTTCTTGCTGAAGTTCCTGAATTTTTCCTTCTTCTTGCTTGCACCTCTCCTGAAGGGTTTCTCTCTCTTCACCCAAACACTTGACTTCATTTAAAATATCCTTGTTTTGATCAGAAAGGGATACGATCTTTTCTTCCAGTTCTTTGATAGCAACCTCTTTTTGGTGGACGCAACTTGCTATTGTGCCATTCTCCTCCTGAAGACTAACAACTTTATGTTTAAGTTCCTCTATCTCTAGTTGATCAGATGACATTTTTTCTATTTCTGCCTTGAGACGATTCACAGTTTCAAGAAGAACATCCTTCTCATTGAAAGCAGCCCGGAGTTTCTGCTGTAGTTCACTGACATCAGAAGCTTGCTGTTGTCTCATTGATTCAAATTCCTTGCTGATCTTTCCAGCAGATTCTCCTAGCTTCAGTCTGTAGTGTTTCCAGTGTTTCTCTCAGGGTATCATAATTGAACAATGCTTCTTCCTTTTCTTGAGTTAGCCTTTCAAGCTGTTCTTTAAGTTCCTGCATTTCAAAAACTAATTCCATTTTTTCTTTTTCAGAACTAGATAATAAAGTTTTATTTACTTCAGAAATTTCTCTCTCATGTTGCTCCTTCAAAGTCTTAATTTCTAATTTATGCTCTTCTGCTGTGGCTTCACATTGGTGTCTTGCTGTTTGAAGCTCCAATTTTAGCTTTTCAATTACACAACAATAATCTTCCTTAGTAAGCTGCAGTTCATTTATCTTAAATTCCAAGTCTTCTCTCTCATGAAAATACTCATCCTTTATGCGGCGGATTTCCTCTTCCAGTTTTAGTTTAACATTGCTCATATAAGTTAGCTCATCTTTTAAAATGGCATGTTGAGATTGGAGATCTTCTAAACTATGCTCCAAGTGTCTAATCTTTTCTTCCATTTTGGCTTCTATGCAAGGTTCTTCTTGCATATCTGCAAGATTTGTCTTGTTCTCACTATTTTTATTTACTGCTTTTAGCTGCTCCAAGTCATGTTCTTGCTGGTCAGTGGAAGCATACGCTTCATCTTTCACATTTTTCTCTGTTTTTAAGTCCTTCTCTACCAAACTGTGCTGTAACTGATTTATGTGATTTTGCTTTTCTTCATTTTCTTTAGAAGATATTTCAATGCGATGCATCAACTCTGATACCTCTTCTTGATGGGCAATTTTTAATTTTTTAAGCTCTTCATTCAGACTGAAGATTTCATTATGGTAACATTGAGAATTGCTTTTAATAGTTTCTTGCAGACTTGCAATTTCTTTGGTTTTGTCATCATTCACAGTTTCCAACTGCTTGGTCAAGCACAAAATTTGCTCCTCATAAGTAGATTTAATTTCTTGGACATTGTCTTGTAATCTTTTAACTTCTTCTTGATTATCATTGTGACATTCAAGCTGTTCCACCAACTCCGTTTGTTTTTTCACTTGTTCTTCTAATTCTATTTTCAGCTTTGTTACATCATCGTCGTATTTGGATTGTGCATTTACTAATTCATTCTTCAGAGCTTTTATTTCTTCCAGAGAGTCTGTATTTGATTGCTCCAGTTGCTTCTGCAGTTCTTCTGTCTTGGCCACTGCAGCCTAAACAAACAGACAAGTCATCAAATGCTGATAATTTAGCACATAAATTCTAAATAAACTGTTTATAATAACAAACTAGAAGATTTAGGAGTCCTTAGTTTTAAAAATTGCTATGGTTTCTGAACAACCAGCTATGTTAGAACAACTCAATTCAGAAGACTCCGCAGAGAATACAAAATTGTTTACAGAACGAAAAACGAGAATTAAGTCTTAGATCATGTTTGCCTCCTTGGAAAGCAGCTACTGTGATCATGTATTAAAGATCAAATTACCTCTATAACATCATATTGAAGAAGCTAGAATATAAAACCATTCATCAATTCCATGTGACTGAGTTTTCACTTTATTATTAACTGAGATTATTGACATGATTTAGGTGACAGGCTGCTTCCTAAGAATATCAGAATTTAAAATCTCCTATTTACCCTAAGAAGACAGTTGATTTGGAGGCATTGCATATCTAGGCTACTGAAGCACAGACTGAATTACTTTTGAACAGTTGTGGGTCTAACCAGTACATACAGAGATTTTACATTTATTGTCAGTCCAATGAAAACACTGAAGTATCTGTTCTCTGTAGCCTCTAAATTACATAAGCCACCTTTAGATCTTTTAAGGTGTAACAGAACACAGGTCAGCGAAGAAAAATTAAAATAGAAATGAAGCACACGAACAAAAGCAAGAAAAAAATCATTCTGAAACATTTTAGTAATGCTTTATTCATTTCAGTACCTCTGCTTCTTGTTTTCTTTGAATATTTTCTTTTTTCAGAGCTACACACTGCTGCTGACTTTCAGCTTTTTCCAGAAGCACAACATCCAGTCTTTCTGTGAGAGCCTAATTTAAAAAGAAAGAAATTATTGGAAAAAGGGTTCCTTAACAACAGAAGCCTGAATGATTTTTGCAAAGCAGTAAGAAGTTGCATATTGGTCAGGATTTTTTTTTTTTTGCTGTTGTCAATTAAGTAGACCAGCCTGATCTTAAAAGTTATTTTTTTTTTTCCCAAATGGAACAGATACAGAACAGGAAGACTAGAACAATGATGTCGCTTGATAGGTTTTGTTCAAAATCTTAGTTGTGCTGAGCTGATTTATTTTTACTACCATGTAGGAAGAGGAGGAAAAAAGCTTCCCTTCTGTAGAAGGGAAATCTCAATCCAAATTATTAAAAATATTTCCCCAGTTGATGAAGTCCTCCTCACTGCCAATTTTCACTTGGATGTGCTGCCTATAACCCTTACTTTGAGACAGATGTTCTTGGCACTAAAATAATTCGTTACATTTTCCCTAAAGTATTTCTTGTGACATGCAACTTTAATTCTGCATTTCTGATCTTATGAAATGACTGTCTCAAAAGACTTCAGCCATTTAGAAGTCTTTCTACAGCAGTCATTCTGAGATAAACAAAAGCCTTCCTAACCTATTACACAAGGACAAAGTCTTACTGGGGAAATTATTATTCTATACTTTTTTTTTTCCTCAAAAAACTGTTTCCTGAAAAGCAAAGTAGAGATACATAGTAAGGAGGAAAAAAGATTTTAGGAAGCATCCTGAATTCCTGAAAATTAATCACAGATTTGAGTAACAATTCTACAGCTGTTCACTACATATCACAAGTCATTTCTGTAGATCTATTTCAGCTAATATTATGCAATACATCAGAAACCCATTATGGATTCTTACCTGAATAATGTCATCAGCTCCTCCAGAAGCTGCTTTAGATTTGAGTTCTTCAATTTCTTTCTCTAGTTCTAAACAAAACAGTAAAAAGCAATACAGAACTTTCATATAAAGCAGGAATTGATGCTTTATCACAGTATCTAATTTCTAATAAATCCAAAACGTAACATCACTCTATTTAAGTCAGAGGAGTCTTACCCCATCAATTTTTGTTGCCAAGTGATACAAAGGGCTAACAGAAAGAACAAGCATTCAGTGCTATTTCTCTGGTGCTAATGTTTAGCCTGATTTCCTGAGGAAACAAAGCTTCCTTGTTTGGGTGGAGAGACAACAAACAAAACCATGACAATTGTCTTACCTTCTATTTCATGGCCAATTTAAGACAGAGACAAGACGTTCATTTCCTACTAGCCCTCTAAAAATAGGCAGCAGGTTGGAGAAAAAGATCTCAAATAACCCCACTGAAGAAACACCCAGTATAGCTCATCCCCATCCTTACTGTTTTGCTGGGCAGTTACCAGCAGCCAGCATGACTGTAACCCCAAAGAAGGGGAGGTGACACTAGTCCAAGCAGGGAGCCACTATAGGAAAAGGGACAACAGAGAGGAGGGGGAGAACACATGGGAGCACAGACATACTCAGGATACTTTTAGGTATTAACACAAAATTTCATTTTCTGTATTTTATGATTTCTTGTCCAAAGAAGCAAATGATCAAATACAGAATAGGCTAACATTTCTAAAGAAGCCACTGCACTCCTCAACAGGACTAATTATGAAAAAGCTAATAGAGATGTCCCCCCCTCTGCTTTCTTAAAGGCTATCCTGCTACAGGTATGTGGAACAGATAATGGCAAACCCCACTTCTACACTGTTCCATCATGTTACACACACAATTAAGTTAATTTAATATTTGACAAAAGCAGTGCTGCTTTTTCTTCCATACCTCTCACTCTAGGGACTTGAGCCCTTATACTCCAACAAAAATAAGGAAATCACAGGAAGGAGAAAAAAAGGAAAAGCCTAGAATTTAAATCTACCTCGAAAATATAAAGTGAAATTAGGAAAAGTCAGATAGTACCAAGCATTAAGGTAGAAATTATTCTCTCTCCAGTCAAGTACCTGTACATCTTGACTTCACTTTCTGCAGAAGCATCATTTGCTTTTTGGCAAACTTGATGAGATCTTCTTTGGGCAATGTGTCCAGCTGTAAAAAAAAAAAAAAGAAAAAAAGTACTTATTACAGAAACTGACTCCTCTAGCCCAGAAGTAAACAGAAAACAGGGCATCTTAGCATCCAACTTTTAAGGAGTGAAATTTTAGGATGAGAAAGCCTTAGCACACTCATTAAGGACAATAACAGGCCAAATTACAGAAGCTGTGTTATCCAGTTCTATCATTTCAGGTGCAGCATCAGCTAGAAAGGAGAACTCTGCTAGGAAGGGTTATATTTCAGTAGACTGGCTTAAGTGTTTGGAGTAACAAATTGAACAGTGTTTTAACCACAGCACACGTACCTAACATCAACATTGTTTAATTTACTTCTAACATATGCAAAGAAGCCTACATACATTATGAAACAGACTGCTATTAGAGCTAGATGCTATTTAATATTTTATTGGTTATTATGACAGAAAGTAAACATACCAGTAACATAATTTTTGTTTCATGCATTCTAAAATGCCTTAGCTTAGCATTTACACATCAATTTTTTAAACACCTAGAAGACATGAAGTTGTTTAAAAATACCTTTATATCTTCCTATTATTTACAGCTAGCATGCTAAGCTGCTACCCTCTCAATCACTGCTAGCCAAATACACCAGATTTGTGAGGTCTGATTACCTTTGATTTGCCCGACCCCGGTGTGACAGCGGAAGCCACCATCTCTTGCCCACCATCTTGTACCTACAACAAAATAGAGGTAAGATGGGAGAACTGAACTTTTTTTTAAAGTGTACACTACCAAAGGAATCAACTGAAAGTCTACAAACATGGAGAGTAACTTGGTATAGTGAGAACTCAATAAAACAGACAGTATTTGTAGGATCAGTAGGATAATGGAGGAAAAATTGAGAGCTCTATTGTGATTAATGCAATAGAACAGCAGAATTGAAAACTAAATCAGTATGATCTTATGGCTTAGATACTTATATGACATCTAGAGCTGTCACTCTAGTGAAAAATCATTTAATTTACTGGCAGTTAAAATAGTGTACCTCGCTATCTTGTTACTAAAAATGTACAAACCAAAAAAGCTTGTAGAGAAGCAGCAGTTAAATCGAACTTTGACGACTTCTGAACAAATTGTACTCTTCAACTATGTTCTTGTTTTCTTTAAACATACATTCTTTAAACATAATATACTTAACACTAGAAGCTTTGGCCTGACAAGATATTTGAAAAGGCTGTGTGTGTGGGCATGCATTTGTGTGTGATGCAGAGAGGGGGAGGGTGTGCATACACACACCCACATCCTTCACTTTTATTTTGCTACTCTTTATTCTTATGAAGAAACCCTTGTAATGGCAACCAGGGAAAGAATAAACTGGAAACAGATAATGACTGACTAACAATTTTTGAGAAAATAGCTGAGAGAGATAACACGAAAGACTAATTAGAAATAGGAGTTCAAGTACGGACCAAGGACAAAGACAGTTTAGTTATCTCTCTCTGGAGAGCCTGGACTCTCACATGGTCTAGAGCTTTTTGCGGAAGCAAAAGCAAACTTTTTTGTATTTCAGATTTCACGGTACACGGAGCTATGTCAACATTGACATTCTTAATATTTCAGCATTCCTATTAGTTAACCTCTGCAAGTACAAGCAGTATACTTGCACAGTATAATTATGGATAACGCAATGAATGTACTGCTTAAGAAAAATGACAGCACACCTCTCTCCATACTATTGCAGGATCAGATGATCTTGTTCTTTTTATCACAGAATCACTCAGGTTGGAAAGCCCCCCAAGATCACCTGGTCCAACCACCTCCCTACCACCAATGCCACCACCAAACCATGTCCCCAAGCACCAGGCCCAACCTCTCCTTGCACACCCCCAGGGACGGTGACTCCACCACCTCCCTGGGCAACCCGTCCCAGTGCCTGACTGCTCTTTCTGAGCAGAAATGGCTCCTCATTGCCAGCCTGAACCTCCCCTGGTGCAACCTGAGGCCATTCCCTCTGGTCCTATCACTGGTTACCTGTGAGAAGAGGCCGACCCCAGCTCCCCACACCTTCCTCTCAGGCAGCTGCAGAGAGCAATGAGGCCTCCCCTCAGCCTCTTCTTCTACAGGAGAAACACCCCCAGCTCCCTCAGCCGCTCCTCACAGGACTTGTGCTCCAGGCCCTCGATGCCCTTCTTGTTTACAGACACAGACCCAGCACTACGCCTCACGCAAGAAAACACAACCCATTGCTTATCCACTAACCGACCCCACCCGTGGCGCTTCACCTCCCCGCCCCCGTACGCACAGGGGCGGCTGTGAGGCACACAACCCCTCACGACCCTCTCACCCCCATCATCACGAAATGGCGACCCCCCCTCCTTCCCCTCCCCTCAGGGATAACGGCCGCCAACCGCCATTCCCACAACGGCCGCGCGCCAGGCGCGGGAAGCGGCGCGCGCTCCCCCCCCCCCCGTTACCTCCATGTCGGAGCCGGCTGGGCGCGAGGGCCGCCGCTACATCCTCCCCGCCGCCGCTTCCGCCTTCGTCATCCCCCCTCCCCGCAGGCCACGTGAGGCGGTGCGCGCGCCCCCTCCCCTCATTTTATAGGCCCGGCACGGGAGCTCCGCCCCCTTGGGGGGTTGGGCCCCGCCCCCCTCGGGCGCCGTGGCCCCGCCCCCTAAGCCGCGGGAGGCTGAGGGGGGCGGGGCTGTGGCAGAGGCGGGCTGCCCTGAGGGGAGTCGGGTGTGGTGTCCCCCTGGGAGGGGCGTTCCTACATTTGTACACATATACACACATCTACACACATATATACGTCCGTATATACACGTATACGCACCACGGCAAATAACAGAAGCCAGTTTTTAAGGCTTGAAGTTCATTAGTTTAAATTAGGAACCCATTTCCTCCATAGTTGGTTGAGGGGAGCGATGTTAGCCCACCGATGTTTTCAGACTGCACACCTTTCTTACCGCAGTCGTGCAAGCACCTTTGGTAATGCTTGAGATGTTTCTCCCGAAAAGTGGTTGATTTTTAATGAGAAGTTTCCTGGGAGAAAAGGGTTTAGGCACTTTGTTCCATTTGCAATTCACCGGGTAGATATTGGATGGCACTGAATTAATTGTGGTGCCATGAGGGAATGTCTATTGTTTTTGTAAAAAAAGAGTCACGTTAGGCAAAATGCTGCTCTCGCAAGAATAATTTGTATTTGTCCAGATCTTCCTATTGTCATTCTTCTTTTAAAATCCAAATGACTAATGATGACTAAAGGCACAAAAGTTACGTATACCTCCAATAGCATTTCCTTATTTCTTTTTCCCTGATGCATAATGTATGTTTATTGCATATTGTAACATAAGCAGGCAAGCAATTGTGGCAGGAGCAGACAGTTCCTTGTTACAGAATCACAGAATCACTTAGGTTGGAAGAGACTTCCAAGATTACCAAGTCCAACCTCTGACCTAACACTAATAAGTCAAGTCCTCCACTAAACCATATCACTAAGCACTACATCTTATTCTCACAGAGGTTGCTGGCCAAGAACAGATCTCCATAACCAAACCACTTGAAGCTGCTTTTCCACAACTTCCATCCTTAAACTCCTCATAAGTCCCACTCTTTCCTCATCCACTTTGGGATGCTCTGAACTGGGTACCCAAGCCTGTGGTGCCACGGCCCAGGGTGGAGGTTTCATGCAACTTCAAGAAGAGCCTTTCTGTAGAGAGTCCTTGCCAAACCATCTTGTGGCCATAGCATTTGGTCCTAAACTGTGCCATACTGCACAGCTCGGTCCTTCCAGGTCCATCTCTGACTGAAGCTGGATGTCTGGAGAGAACATTATAGAAAAGCCTAGCTGCTTTTTTTTGGAAAACCCCAGAGAAAGCAATGTTTCTTCAAATGCATTCCTGCCTTCTGTCCTCTGAAAATATGTCTTATGATCCAACTCTTGGGTCATCACCTGACTAGGCAGAAAATGATTTTGGAGATTGGCCAAGGCAGATGCACAAAGGTTTTTCTGATCTCTTTGTACTGAAGAGACTGAACTACCTGCTCACTCATCACAGGCCGACACCACCTGTTTCTAGCTGGAGGCACTCACCCCTTGACAGAGCTCCCTACTCCTGTGGGGTTAATGTTTGTCAGGCCAGTTCTCACTCTGCCATCCCCCTTCATTTTGTGCAAGAGGTCTTAGCTACATTTGGCAAATAAAATAGTCTTGATGGTCTTTCCTCTGGGTCCTAAATTGCAACAGAAATTGCAAAGCATCCTGTATAGGAAGTAGTAGTTCCTCCTAAAATAAATAAAACAATAAGCATTGAAGATTTTGACTGCTGACTGTTTCAATTTGTTAAAACCAAGTATTTCTTACAGTAAAGTTGCTTCATATTTTTGGGGGAAAATGCTGATTCATACCTGCAATAGTCTTACATAATTTTCTTAAACAGATTGTGAATCTTATCTTATCTATCCAGAAGGAGCCAGTAAAATTGCATCTATGCAGCTAATTTGGGACCAGATAAGTGAGAAAAACAAGAATAATTTATGTGTTCTGTGTATTCTGTAATTTTATTATCTTTGTAAAGATAATTAGTTCTAATTTTTTAAATAGCATTGTTTATGTAAAACAAGATTGCCAGGAGGCTTATGAGATGTGTGGAGGCAGAGGATAACAAACTTTAAATCTTGCTTTCATTGAAAGGCCAAGTTCCACAGGACTGTGGTTGGTTATTCCACTAAAGCAGTGTGTAGATGTTTGTTCAGTAGCATTGGAATTATTAGACCTGCAGGAATGTTCTGAAGAGAACAAAATGAGAAAATTACTGTAATTTTGCACCTGAGGAATGTTTCCAGCTTGCAGAGCTAATGCTTTAAATACTGGCTCTGTAGAATCTGCCTTTCCTGCCAGTTCTGTGGATGACAAACTTTCCTTTGTGAACCACTCCAGGCAAGCTAACTTTCTTGCTTTGAGTTACTTCTGTGGGTTCTGTACATGCAAAATTAGTATAAATGAAGGCAGGGTATGAATTTACAGCGTGTTAACTATTCACCCCTGTGTGGCAACTGAAAGTATTCTCCCTGCCCTGTGCAAATGAACCATCAATTCTTTGGCCATACTGACGTGGGTTTGGGTTTAGCAGGTTCCCACTGTAGTGGAATTGTACAGGTATAGTGAATTAAAGAGGGTGTGAAGGGGGAGGCTATTCTGAATGCTTGCAGGATGCAGGGGCAGTACTGACCCTGATATATTTATCTCTATACTACTTTATGTGTGAAGGGTTTCCTTAGGTATTAAAAAAAAAAAGAAAAAAAAAAGTTTATTTAGCTCTTAATTCTGCTCTGAAATTGCAGAGATGAGAGGTACAGTCTGGTGTTCTATTACTAAATTGCAAAGCCCACCAAACCTGTTTAAAGGTTATCATTGAACAAGGAAACTAACATTTTGTTTGAGCACCTGGGGTTGGGTCTGGCTGTAGAAGACTGTTCCATTGTTGACTGAACGTGAAAGCTCTTCGAACTGCAAACAGGAATAGCAGCAAATACAGATTACTGTGGGTTATTGGCACAGTAACAGGTTATTGTGAATCAAGAGGCCCAATTTAAACTTTTTTTTTTTTTTAAATAGCTTCCTTATTTTTAGATGTCCAGCCTAAGACCCTACCTATATTGCCCCTTTATTGCTACCTGTATTGCCCCTGCCAGAGAAGGACCCTGAGTGGCCTGCTTTTGACATAATCCCTGTGTCTCCACGAACGGGTTAGATGTGCATAATTCAACTGTGAGCCTTCATGCAGTCTGTGCTCACACTGCTTATAAATACCACCTGCCCTTGCAGCAGCTTGTGCTGAGGCCCTTCTGTAAAATGATCCATGACTGATTTGCCTCTTCAATATTAACCATGGGACACTGCTGCATGACAACATTCCTGGTCCACCTACACAGTGCCTAAGTCTGTGCTTGGTCTGGAGGGCAGGCAGAGACAGGTTATCCAGCGTAAGCCCATGGCTTCAGGCCTGGAGGCTTGGTTTGGTTGCATCCTACGAGTATGGAGGGCTAGACTTTCTCTCTCATTGTGCTTCTAGCCTCCCTCACCTATAGCCTACACTGAGCCAGGGCTTGCATAAATCATCAAAGACAGCAGGGGAGTGGAAGCTTCAATCCAGGTTTGAAATACAACGTTATCAAAACTCTGGAAAATTCCAGAATTAATCATTAACCTTGTTGGAAAGATAAGGTTCCTTCTGAGCATGTTGACATAGATCATTATAAAAAATTTTATATTTTGTACATTATAGGCTAATATATTCTTATCCTGTAAAGCCAGGACTAGTGGTATAAAAGCTAGTCTCTGTGTATGGTTGGTTTCCTACTGGATAAACAATAACTTTCAATCCAAGCAGGAAGCAAATCATCTGCAGTACAATTAGTGGAATGTAAAGCAGTGTTCTTCCATCTTTGAATGCTAGCTAAGATAGAACAGCTTGCTTCTCTGCCTCTAATTTATGTGTTTGTTTGTTTGCTTATTTATTTTTAAGCTTGGTGCTTCTCCCATTCTGCTTTGTAAATGGATGCCTTCCACCCGAAAGTAAAATGGCTGGCCTAGTTCCTAAAGACAGTCAAGGTACAGTGAGATCACAACTATCCTGGAATTCATATAGCAATTCCTGGCAAAAACTCTCTATCAAAGCAGGAACCTTCATTAATTCCAGCAGGGGGATTTGTTCTGGTAGTTGTTAGTGCAGAGCTACAAAAAAGGCACATGCAAACAGATAGCATGGATTAATGAACACTGATTTTCAGACGTTTGTTAGAGATTAATAACAAAGTTCCTTGGCTATTAAAACTCTGCAGGTACACTTTCTTAGAATACACAAGCGGCACTGAAGAAGTTGCTGTGGGGTTGCATTCAGCTAACCTGACACAAGTCCTATTTAAGCTGACATAGAAGTTGCACCTCTGTAAGAAAGTCAGTAAAACCATACTTCTGGGTAACTGGACAAAAATAAAGCACCAGTGTATGCTCAGGGCATATATCTGACTGGAGCTCTGTACAGAGTTCTATCACCACAGTAAATAGAGAGTTACTTGTTCACACCAGAAGCTTGACAGTAGTTCAGATTGACATGAAATAATTTAGTTAAATATGTACAAAATCTCCTTCTGCTGATGCTCATCGATTTACAGTATCAAAATAAATTAAGCTTTTTACCCCCTGAAGCCACTGGTAGCGAACAGTCTCTGTATAATACATCATTTAAGGCTCTTCTGTGCATAACAACTGACAAACATAAAGATATGGAAGTTAAAGGCACTCTAGATATAGGCACCCTCCAGTTATCTGCCCAGAAGCACGCACACATCTCTGTTGTGATACTGTAATAACAGACAACAAAACACTGGTTTTCAGGCTGACTGGGGGTTTCATGCAACCTATTTTTCAAACCCTTTTCCAAACTTTTGGAACCCCTTTTCCGAACTTTCCCAATAACTACAGATCCACTTACTATCACTTACAACAATTCATTGTTCCCTTACAGAGAATTAATATTCAATTAATAGCATATTACAAATTATGACTGAATCCACAGGTTGATCTGTGTCAGCT